ACATACGACATCTCACGAGTTGTATAAGTTCCAATCCGGTGGATGAACACACGTTGGTTTCGGTGTTCATGCAGGGTCTTGCGGATGGTCCCGTCAAGACTCACCTGTTCCGGCTTGAACTAGATTCACTAGAACAAGCCATTTCCATTGCGGAGCAGGAAGACTTCAGTCTGAGACAGGCTCGCGCCAGCTCGACATCATATCGTCAACCGAGACGATATGACAACGGAGGTCCAGAGCCGATGGAACTCTGTTATGTAGAGAGCGAGAAGGCTCTGCTCTACAGGCTACAAGAAGTAGCAGAGATGCAACAGATGTCAAAAGACAGGACACTACGCTTACGAGTGTAGTGCCCCTCGTCCAGTGTGTCTCGCGACAGTGGGCGTAGTGACCGTCCACCCATGAGAAAGGGGCAGGGACGAGGGTCCGCAGTTGGTGCAAAGACGCAACAACGGGATGGACCGTCAAAAAACGGACAGGATCAGTAGGTGCGGAGCACCCTACTGGTCTAGCAACGTCAAGAGAATTTGTAGGCCTCTTGATGAAGGTTGCTCCCAACACACAAACGTTGTGCGTTGCTGCTCTAGGTAATGAGGTCTCACTCATTACCTTGAAACTCGAAGTGACGAATAAGTTGTCCCTTCGAGCTCTAGTCGATTGTGGGGCGTCCAACAATTTTGTGCGACGCCAATCGCTAGAAGATGGTCACTTTAAATTCAGTGAATGTGACACACCTCCTACGAGGATGACGGTACGTCTTGCGACAGGCGCATCCGTAACCGTCATGAAGCGTGTAGTGAAAATCCACTATACGCTAGAAGATACCCAATATGACGATGACTTTATCGTATTGGATTTGGATGACAAATTTGATGTCATCCTTGGAATACCGTGGCTCAGAAGGTACGAACCACGAGTAAACTGGCAACATCGGACAGTAACGATGCCTGCCGCTTGTTCATCAGATGGCCATCTGATGAACGTTTTGGAGCGTCCACAAGCGTGTGGATGTACTACGAGTGAGTTCGATGGCCTCACTTGTGGTACGGTCGTTAGTACGACTGCACAAAACCTTAGTGTACCAAACGGTTACACTTCGGAGCAAAGTTCCGGCGGCTGTGAGGAAACACAGGCTGCGCCGAAGGTCCACCACTCGAATAAGTCGGGTGGACTGGGACAAAGATGTATCCCTAGCGGGGAACATCTAGAAGAGAAACAATCGATCGCTCAGGTTAAGCGAAACGATAATCCTAGATCGACTGGAGAGTCTTTCGTAGAGGATCTCGCTGTGGTTGCGCAACCCCAGCTAGAGGAAGTAAAGGGAATAAGTCCCAAGATTACAGATACGGCGGAAATAAGTTCCCCGGAACCCGAGGGAATAAGTCCCCGGGAAGACGAAGGAATAAGTCCTTCGAAGCCTGAGGGAATAAGTCCCCAGGAAATGACAGAGACATTGAATGTCATAGTCAATAACGGATCAAGTGTAGGCGCTTATACACTTGATCTGATTGCGCCTCCGAAGTTAACTTCGGAGATCACTCAGTTGCCAACGCTCGAACATAAGAGGTTCTTGCGTGATCTGCGTAGTGGTAAAGTCAAGCAGATCTGCATACTCGTCGCTGACGACGAGTGTGTAACCGACATAAGGTCAGCAACAGTGTTTACTGAGAACGAGAGAGTTCTCAGTAGTTCATCTATGGACGAGAGTGTCCTAGATGAAAAGACACGAATTGAGCGATATGACTCCCAATCATGGGAATCGCTCAAGAAAAATCCTCTCTATGAAGATTTGGTTGAATTCAAGGATGTATTCCCTGAAACTGTTTCGTGTGAATTACCGAAGGATAAAGGTATTCGACACGAGGTCGAGCTTAAACCAGGCTCGAAGTACTGTGTCATGAAGCAGTGGCCACTGCCTCGTGAACAAGTACTTGCGATCGACAAGTTCTTTGCCGATCGTTTAGCAGCGGGCCATGTGAGGGAATCAACTTCCCCACATAGCTCTCCGACCTTCTGTGTGCGAAAAGCAACAGGAGGGTGGCGGATAGTGCACGCGTTCAACAAATTGAACGCTGCAACGGTACCGGCTCAGACGCCGATACCGAGGAAGGACGTAATCATTGATGGTATGTCAAAGAGTACCATCTTTTCGTCCATGGATTTGATGGATGGCTTCTATCAAATCCTAATGCGGGAACGGGATATACCCTATACCGCAGTTAGCACGCCTAGCGGTATGCTCTGGGAATGGCTAGTAATGCCTCAAGGGCTCAGTAATGCCCCTGCCACGTTCAACAGATGTGTATCACATCTGTTGAGGCCAGTACGAGAATTCGCGCCGAGTTATTTCGATGACGTATTCATCCATAGTCGAGCTATGGATGGAAAGTCGGACGTTGAGGTTCACAGGTACCACGTCCGACAAGTTCTTACTATCATGCGAAAGCATCAATTGTATGCTAACCTCAAGAAGTGTATATTTGCAGCAAGCGAAATACCACTTCTTGGGTGCATCGTTGGTAAGAACGGTGTACGTCCTGATCCCGAAAAGATCAAGGCGATCACCGACTGGCCTGTGCCGGTCGATGTCAAAGGTCTTCGAAAATTCCTTGGGCTAGCGGCGTATTTGCATAAGTATTCACGCAATTACGCCGAGATGACTGTTCACCTCTCTCGTTTGTTGAAAAAGAACGAGAGGTGGTTATGGAACGCTGAATGTCAACGCTCCTTTGAGGGTATCAAGCAGATCTTGATACAATCCCCAGTCCTAGCAATAGCCGATCAGGACAGGCCATTTCATGTGGTCTGTGATGCCAGCGATTTCGCAATCGGCTGTGCATTAATGCAGTACGACCTTGAAGGCGTTGAACGCGTCGTCTGCTATCAGTCGCGTCAGCTGCAACCAGCTGAGCGGAACTATCCAGTGCATGACAAGGAACTCCTTGCCATGAAGTATGCACTCGCGAAGTTCAGAGTCTATCTATTAGGAGATAGACCCTTCGTTGTTTACACTGACCATGCGTCATTACGCACGGCAGTGAACAGCCCGCACCTTTCACAACGAATGGCGCGGTGGTTGTCATTCTTTGCAGAATACAACTTTACGGTCGAGTACAAACCAGGACGACTTAATGTTGTCGCTGATGCACTCTCACGTCGTCCCGACTTTGAAACAGTCGCGAAACCCAACAGTGAGACAGTCACTGTTGCGGTTATGACGTCCTCAGTTCCATCTACAACGTTGTATGATGATGTGAGGCGGGCATACGCCCAAGATGGTGAGATAGTGAAGTTGTTGTCACATCTCTCCCAACCATCTCGAGAATCGTTGAAACGATTGTCGTCTGCGTATCGATCTGCATCAGATCGATGCACTACTCGTAACGGTTTACTGTATTATACAGCCGTTTCTGGTGACACACCACGTGTTGTCATTCCAGATGATACTGATCTGCGTTTGCGGATCATGTTTGAGTATCACGATGCTCCTATAGGAGGACATCGTGGCCGAGAGAAAACATATCTCACGGTAAGTGGAGACTTTTACTGGCCCCGCCAGTATCAGTTTGTGCGAAAGTATGTTCGCGCATGCGAAGTCTGCCAACGAGTGAAGTCAAGTCCTTCACTGCGTGCACCTTTACAGCCTCTACCGGTTCCAGCTGAGTGCTGGGAATCCATCTCAATGGATTTCGTCTTCGGGTTACCTAAAGACGCACGCGGGAATACGGGTATTCTCGTATTTGTTGACAGATTCAGCAAAATGGTACACCTTGTGGCTGTACCAGAGACAATCACGGCAAGTGGCTGTGCTTGTGTCGTTATTGACACCATCTTCCGACTTCATGGGTTGCCCCGTGAACTCGTATCAGACAGAGATCCACGATTCACTGCTGATTTCTGGCGTTCCGTGCTCAAATCATTCGGAACGCGCTTGAAGATGTCGACATATGATCATCCAGAGTCAGATGGTCAGACGGAACGTGCCAATCGTGTCCTCGAAGAGATACTTCGAGGATACGTACACTCCTTTAAGAGTTGGAGTGAGTTTTTGCCAATGGTAGAGTTTGCCATCAACAACTCGGTGCATGCGTCCACGACCCATACACCGTTTTACGTGAATGGCTTGCGCCATCCGCGTGTACCCACCTTACTATAGTATAACTCTGGTTTAAGGGGGGGGAGGGACTCGCGCGAGCAAAAACCGATTTGGTTCACGCTCATCACGCTCTGACGAAGAAGTCATTGCGTTTGATGCAGATATCGATAACATCGATATCGAAGAAGATGATGCCAGTGAGAGTGCGGAAGCTCTCACTGAAGAAAAGGTTGGTGTTGCTGCAGTGCGCTCATAGCGCACTGTAGCTAACGAGTCATCAGATGAGTTCATACTGGCTCGTGAAACGGTAGTCCGTTTTGTGCAAGACTCCATCGCCGAAGCGGTGGATAAGCAAAAGCAAAACGCTGACAAGAATGGAAGGGCAAACACTCTTTTATTTAACAAAGGTGACTTAGTCCTACTGTCTACAGTTAATCTACCAAAGCATGTAGTGACTAACTTGGGTAGCAGTAAACTACTACCCAAGTACATTGGCCCATTTCGTGTATTGCACCGCCTAGGCAATGCATACACGATCGAGTTACCACGTAAGATGCGAACGCATCCCACGTTTTACGTTGGTCGGCTTAAGCCGTACCATCAGTACGCTGTTTCTTCCGATGAAGAACGCCCTTGCGCTCAAGCATCTCACAGAGAGCCTTGTGCTCCCGATGGTGACTATCGACAAGGGTCTGAAGAGCAGTTATCTCATCCCGAAACCGGGTCAACATCCCCACGAGCTGCCCTTAGCTCTTCACGAAGAGATGTCAGCGATCTCTCGTTCTCAAGATGAGCAAAGGCAAACTCAGCTCGATGCTTCGAGGCAGTGTCCACCATTTGGAGACACCTATTCCGCTCATGTTCGAGATCGTCGCGTAACCCTTGCGTTACGCGATCAAAGAAGCTATCGGGAACACACCGATCCCCATGATCGTGTGGAGAGCGTCTTTCCTCCTCCCCCCACCTCCATTAGAGGACTCTCGCGGTGGCCAGCGCTATCTAGTTGAGCAGCTGTTGAACCACCGCGACGTGAACGGACGTCGGACGAGTTGTCTCGTCCGGTGGCGCGGCTATCCCCCGTCCTGGGATACTTGGGAGCCCCGCTCCCAACTGATGATCGACGTACTGGGTCTGGTTGAGCAGTACGACGCGGCACATCCTGTGCAGCAGAAGGACCGCTGGAGAAAGTCTTCCCGGCACGGTCGTAAAGGGATTTCAGGTTGCCAATCCCTTCGTACATCTCAGTAGAGATACGTACGCGCCACCACGGGCTGGTAGGAGGTAAGCCTCCTTAGGTGCTCGTGCAGAGTTGTTCACACAACATGGGCACGAGTCTCCCCAAGAGAGGCAGGGTAACCCACTCTCCCTAGACAGACGATGCAGCTTATAGCGTGCACCTGTCGGGGTTCGCTTTTCAAACTTATCACGAGCTTTGGTAAGTTTGTCGTTCCAAGCGTCACGACCTACATCCTCGAGGTTATGGATGTAGGCGTTCCACGCCTGAAGTAGTGAGGGACCATCACGTTTGTGATTCCCACTGTACCATCGATGTCTGAAGAAAGCATCGATGAAGAACTCATGTTCAGCGCGATAGTCTTTCGCGCTGGGGTCAAGGTGATGGATCCTTGACGAATCGAACAATCGTGTTCGATAACGATCACTCGTCGTCGCCGACAAGTGATCCATGACAGATTTCGGAGGCATCCATGCCTTCTTTTCTGGAGCGAGACGCAACACATTGCGGTCCCGCTCTTCCTGCGACGTGCCGACAGAAGTACTGGCACCTCGTTGCGAAGTGGTGTCCATTGGAGAACCGACACCACTGTTAGCGCCCGAGTCTCGCGACCTCGAGCGCCTTCGCTTCGGCGATGGTTCATCTGATTCGTCAGGTGAACCAAAGATGCTGCGACGCAAAGCATCGTCCATGCCACGCTTGGCAGGCGGCTTGGATTCAATTGCCGTCGATACGGATCCTTCATCCGTATCAGGAGAGTACGAGACACCGAGCTCGTACTCTGTGAAGACACGAGTGTCTTCATGACCAGCGCCTGCATCACCAGGTGACACAGGCTGAGTCGCTTCAGCAACCGATGGGACATCAGTCGCTGTGGTTTCTGCTTCGGCGCCCGCACAGAGACGTGCAGACGCGCTCTCGGCGGCCTTGCTCGCGCATCGCATGGGCTTGTTAACCATGCGATGAGATGTTGGAAAGTGGACGCGGACCAACAAGTGCAAACCCTGTCCCAAATGATTTGGGACGAGTATCCATTTAGTCAATCAGTCACTAAAGTGACTGATGGTTAAGGGGGGGGGTGATGTAACGGGGTGAATCGTTACATCACAATTTAAAAGAAATTGTTAATAGAATATAACTATAAGAGTTATATTCTCAGAATATTGTCATAAGGACAAATATTCTGTAGCACTTACAAGTAGTTCCTAATTGGTTGATATAGGCCATTACATCAACCAACGAAGACGCGCCACGACAGACACACGCAATGAGTGGTGAGCAGATGGTTGATATGCACATTTGTACTTAGACATAGTTAGATGAAGATAAATAGTGATTTGTTGCAGACATTAACTATGCTAAATACAGTTCTACTTTTTACTTAATCTAAGTACTCGCTTCTTCTTATCGTCTTCCTCTGCACGTACGAGTTTACGTGAAGTTCCGAGGCACCGCCTTATTCTGTCGTCAGAATGAGTAGCTTGTACTGTCATCAGTACAAGCGTCAGGGTGCCCCGTTATAGTCCCAATCAATTCTATTCAATTAACGGGTATTTGGTGGATAGGGGGGGTGATGTGACGGGGTGGCCCGTTACATGATATTGACACCAAAAGGTGTCAATAGGGAAATTGTCTAGCGTGACCATCTCCTACCAAAATTATCCGAGATGAATAGTGTCAAAAAAAAATTCCCTTGTAGGATAATATTTAAGCGCTGCTCCAAGATTGGTTGATAAAGACACATCAACCATCAATCGCTACTAGACGCGCGCAATAAGTGGTGAGCAGCTTGTCATCATACGACAATGAAGATTAATGTAGTTAGGTAAAGATTAAAGTTATATTGATATCTTCACTATATTAAATGCAGTTTTTTACCCCTATACTCAGCTTAGTTGTTGAGTAGACTAGCTTCCTCTGCACGTACAAGTGTATGTGGAGTTTCGTGGCACCCAGACTAAGGGTGCCCCGTTACAGGCACTTAGTTTCGTAGAACTAATTGACTCTTGAAGTTATAAGCCCTTCTTGACTGAGAGCTGTGTAGTCCCACTTCTTACAGTCAGCTCCCTCTATAACATCTCTGTTCACCCAAAATTTCGATCTTATAGAGGGAGGATGCGATATCACGGGAGGTTTCAGAGGGAGCTGACTGTTCTATGCATCTGACCTGAACTGTAGTAACAAAGGACTTAACCACAGAGTGATATTTAACATACATATCTTCCTACAAGGAGGTAAAAGGCTTCATTGCACTGAAAACGACGTTTTATGTTCACCTACCGTTACGTACAGACACATACACAGGATAGAGCACGCTGTATCGCACTTTGTACAATGTGTAAGGTACATCTAGCGTTATCCAGACCAACAGCCTCAGACAAAATCAGGTTTGAAAGTTTAGCTTTCACTTTGCGCAGAGACACTACTCGTAACCCGTAGGACTCTTGATAAAAATCCTGGCTAGACCGAAATTTATACCGACGGCTGAGGCCCTGAGCCACAGTATTGAACAAAGCAACGCCCTCCGGGATGGCAATAAAAACGATGTGTGCAAGACCAGCAAAACGAATTGAAAAGTATTTACAAATGAAGTAGCTCAATAAAACAAAACACGCACTAATTTTTTTTTAGTGGACTGACTCCAGCGCATACAAGTTCTGCGGCTTTGTCGGAGACCGGGGGCTGCTTGAAGTACTTCTTGGTCGGAAATTTAGGCGGGGCGCAGGAAGCGGTGGTTTACTACCCTTGTCTCAAGATAAGCGATGTACCTTTGTACCTCTTCCTCCACCAGCAATTTACCCCCGGATAAATTACTTTTTTCCAGGGCAGCTCTATAAATCTGTGGTTGTACACCGAACGAATACAGAGCAGCGAATTGGTCACCTCTGTTTTTTAAATCGCGGATGATCCGCTTGGCAATCCGAAGATACATTTCCTCCATACCCAGAGGTGGCTCCAACTCCCTTGTGGGTGACTTGGGAGAAAGCTTGTGTTATACGTGGGAGACCGTGCCATCGAAAAATCCTTTGACGCGTGAATGTAGACTGTCTACACGACCAGTTATAATGGGTACGCTGGTGACTCGAAGCATCCTGTTGCTGCCGATGTTTGCAAGAGTGGCTGGGTCTTTGTCAGGCATTTCCATCACTGGCGTCTGTCCGGCTGCTCGGGACGGAAGGACGCCAATGCAAGCAGACATGGCGAGTGCAAGTATGAAGGGGAGGAACACCTTTACCATTGGCGTAAATGAACGGTCCAGCGAGTGTAAGGCGAGGAAACAACACTTGGAAAATTGCTCGTGCGAACAAGGTAGAATTGGAAATGAGAAGTGTGGAGAGTCTCGAGTAAAAGTTAATGGTGGCGCGGGATCTGGTGGTGTCACATAGACACAAACCTTCAGGGCGGGAAGGATTTCTGCACCGGGAGGTCTGACTGCTCGCCAGAACCTGATTCCCTCAGTCTGTGTTCAAGAATTAGAATCCGCGTGTACGAAACTGCGTCTGGACTGGATTGCCGATCGCTCGTCTCCCCATAGCCAGTACATTTTCAAACGTCGTGGCTGAGAAATGAGCACAGCATTGAGTTGGCACCCCTTGGATCGAGAAACTGATCGGACACATCGGATTAGATATTCATTTGCAAAGGGATCATGTCATCTGCTCTCCAAATGTGCCGTGTGAATGAAGACGCCGTAGTGGTTGTGCAATCAGCAGTAGCCAATCGTCGACCTGTGTCCTGTCAGTTTCAGCTTCTTGTGGACGATGAGCTTTCTCTGAATGGTCCGACTGCTCGCCAGGTTCTAATCTCCCCGTCCAAGTCCCTGGTTCTGTGGACACATTTTGGTACATAAAGAAGTCTATGCTGCATAGACTGAGTTTCAGACGACTGTTGTGCCGTTGTTTCCATTCCTCTCTCTGCAGCGTCGATCGTCTCTCTGTATTTAATCGATACTATTCACGAGAAACCGATTCTATCTTCCAGACATTCACAGTCGCCTCCACGGCGTCATGAAACGTTGATGCAATCTGCGTCTCTATCGTGGCCTTATTCGGGAGCTTGGCGATTTGCACATTCGAGAATGCGAGTGGCTCCGACCTGAACCACCGAGTTTACTCCTGTGCGGACCAATGAAGTCGTTTCATCCGGGACGCACTCTCGAGCAGTTTCACAAGATGTGAGCCGGGGTTTCCAGATAGCGTGACGCGCCAGTAATCCACGACAACTGTTGCCGCCATCAGTTGCATCACTTTGTTGCATTCTATAGTGCTGTTGTGCGCTGCTGCTCGAGCAAAGGTATGTCACATCGCTGCGACATGGTGTTGATGCTAAAGCGAGCCAACGGTTGTAAGGAATAAATTCCATGAAGGTCCATTGACATTTAGTTTTATACAAGATGTCTGCAAACTTCTGAGTCAGGCAACTAGTACTGGAACTGGTGGCTTTTCGGATCAAACTTCTGTAGAAGCCGAGATCTCTTTGGTGAGTCGTCGGCACAGACGTGCAATATTGCCGCCTGGACGACCGGGGCGGGACTTGGATGCGCGCGTTTTGCTAGTGCTTTCAGGTGACGTGTCCCGAGCGAATGAAAACGTAAGACGCTTACGGTGCCGTGAGCTGCTCGTCTCTAACCACGGCATCGTCTGCTCACCTCGTACGTTCTGATGGATACTGGTCTGAGCAGCAATCATGTGATGACGAATTGAAAAGCAAGGACATAGTTTGAAATTATGTGAAGACGGTCCGAACGTTTACGATGGGTATCGAAGTAGCAGCTGTGATTGATTTAGGAAGCTTAAAACATTGGTAGTATCCTCTGCAGTAATAGGCTCATACGAAGCAAGAGAGTTTGCGGAAGAAGGATCAAGGCGTACGTCCATCGCAAATTTGCCATCACGCACTTGTTGGTCCCATCCGTTTGTTATTATTGGAAGAACTGTGGAAATGTGTGTCGGAAAGCCGAGTTAATTTCCGGATACCAACAACCACCGGCGTCAAGTGTCGCCAAAAGCCAACGGTATTGCTGGATCACCGTCAAACACTATCCGCTGATGAGATTTTTAGCGTCAAAGTAAGGTAGTTTAGAGAGAGTGCACATGCACAGTTGCTATCGAAATTTTTACGACGCATAAACGGTAACAGCCATGTTCGTGCGATCATCACGCTTTGCTCATAATGATCTTGATTCGGTTCTTCAGGTGAAGGTTAGTGCAGTGAATGGTGTCGTCCATATGCTATCTCACGACCGCTTGAGGAATTGTCTCGATCATCCATGGATCGACAATTCCAGAATGTTCACGGTGGGACCTCGTTCACCCACTTCGGTCGAGCATAGAGTATGTGATGTTCAAGTCTATCGGGTCTGTACTTAAGGTACTACTACTAAACACCACTGCAATTTTGTCAACAAACATTTGTATACCGAACTAGACGCACTCGAGCTTGGCTGCTACCATGTGCATTTCGCGCTAGCAATGCGTCTAACTTTGTCGATCGATCGTCATCGGTGTTATCGAACGATTCATTTACCGTATGTGTATCGCAGTTTTCAACGAGTCTGTCAATGTCCGACTGTAGGTCCTGCTAAACAAGACAAGAGTCGCAGCGAGCGTACCCTGTTGATGTGAGCAATAGATAGAATAGAAGCTTATATCGTCGTGGTGCTTTCTTAATGGCTATTGTGATCATCAGTGGCAGAAATTTCGTAGAGAGTTAGCATGACAACGAATAGAGTAAACACTGTAGCAGTTGTATTAATGGTCGTCACCACAATGTTTGCTGGGTACCGACCGTCCTTAGAAGTATACAAACGGCGGTTCCATTGCCCTTGTCAGCCAACTACTCGATAAATCGGCTCGAAAATCATCCAAGTCTACGCTCGAAGCATGATGGGCAACCAAGCCATAAAGAATGGATGCAAATGATACCCATGATGTGAGTGTTGTGC